CCTTCCGCCTGTTGTACAGTTGCTACAGTCGCAGAGATAAAGAGCACGCTTTCTGAATGGCAGGATGGGTGCCGGCTACCGGACAACGGCCCCCGACTTCCTTCCCGTCCACTCCCTGTTGGTTTAAAAAAAAAAAAAAAGCTGGCTCAGAGTCGAGAGAGGGAGAGAGAAGAATGTGGTATTTTTGTGGCTTTTGTTCCGATGCACCAAAGTGCCAAGATATTATCTGTCTCTCTGCTCTGCCTTTCCCCAGCTTGGAACAAAAGGCCAGTTTGGAGAAGAGCTCATGGGAAGTTTTCACATGCTCCGGCGATGTTGACGCAGAGAGATTTTCCTCAGAGCTGGGCCTCTGGGGCCCGGATTGGAGCTCTGGACCTCGTCGGGCACGGAGGTGGAAGAGGAGGAGACCCCCCCCCTTGGTTTCCTGCCCACCTTGGCCCCTACGCGAAAAGTGCGGTGATCCCACACAACCTCACTCCCTTCCCACCAGCAGCCTACAACAGGCAGGACTTTCCTCTAATATCGGCAGGCTCTACAACGACCACAGGGATTTGTGCAATTTCCTTCTGACTTCAGTCCGCCTAGCATTAATGCTAAATATCTGCAAAGAGGATAGGTGGTTAGGGAGAGGCGGGGGGTGCAGCAACCAAAATTCTAAGGTCTCGGTCACCCTGGGGGCACACGGGACCAGAAAAGTCTGGAGATTTGCTTTTATAAGATTTGGGGATCATGTCCGGGTGGTGCTGTGAGAACCCCGGAGGAATCCCGCTCCGGATCCGTGCTGGTTCTCGGAGGCTGTGCGTCACTGCGAAAGTATTCAGGATAAAGTGAACAGGATGGCTGGGAAATCTATAGTTGGCGTTTCCCAAATGAGGTTTTTTTAAAAAACACTGAAACTGCAGCTGCATGCAGCTCAGATTCAGACTGGGCTGTGCAGAGAGAGGAGAGGGGTTGAACCCTTCCGCCTGGAAGGGGGTTTGCCTTTTCAAACTGCCTCTCCCCAGGCAGCCATTAGCCCGGAGAGGAGAAAAGGGATGGGGAATGGAATATCCTGTTTATCTCCTGAAAACACTCGAGGAGACCTGATCACGGGTCTGTCAGGATTTTGCCAACTTGATCCTGGGACTGACATAGGGTTGCCAGCAGGGGTCATTTCCTGCAGGAGCGCACAGGAGCGGAGCTCCGGCAGTAAAGAGCCCAGGGGGTGGGCACATGCAACAAGCCCCACCCCCTGCTCCCAGCAGCCCTCAGTCAGAGCAAGAAGCAGCCAGGTAAGTTGCAGAGCT